TTTTTTTTTTTTTGGTTGTTTAATTATTGACCACCTGCTTATCTTATTCTGTTTATCGACTCACCTAGTTTTATGGATATCTACCCCTTAATTTTCCTTTTTTTAGCAGTTTTATGATGAGGAGGAAAACAGAACAAATCTCCTCTCATAAATATGGGTAAATAAAACTGAGAAGCAAGGTGTTTTATGTAGTATGAATAATGTGAACATGGCTTGTGTAATATTATATCATGATTCATGAATGATGTGTTCCAAATAAATCGGCTTCTACCCTTGAATGATGTTGTTTGTCAAACAAGTCGAGCTTGAGCTTAGTTAACGAGTCTACTTTAGTTCTATTCGTTTAGGCTGTACAATAATTTTTTTTTTATATACTTTTCAATAGTTTTATTCGTTTAAGCTCGAAGTCCGGCTCAAGTTCGACTTGTTTATATTGTTAATAACTTAATCGAGCTAATTTCGAGTTCGATTACTGATAGTTAACAAGCTGAGTATTAACGGTTTGAACTGTTGAGTCCTTTTAATATGTTAAATGAAATTGAGGATATTACATAATTATTTAGATTATACGTATAATTAATTCAGCTGTTTTTAATTAAATTTATAATGAAATATCCTATTTCGAATTACATATAGTTAAAAACTGTTAAAAATCCGACCAAAACACCTGAAAAGAACTACAGTCTCTACAGCTAAAAAATCATGTCTTCTTTTATACGGTCGTAATTGTATACTCTGTATTCAACCCTCAAGGCCGATCCCCCAAGCACCAGATCTATCTGCAGATCTCTCGTCAGCTTTCTGCGGTGCCGGAAAGGTTCGTCGGCATATCTTCGAACACTTTTCCGGCTTACGTTTTCGAGATTGTCTGTTAGTTATTTGGAATTCTGAAAAAACGATTCATTTCCAGTTCCGATCTGAGTTGATTTACGTTTACGAACGTTGTCTTTTATCTATTGCCTTCTGAGATTTTATGCTGTGGCTTGTTGGGCTGCCAGCAGATCCAAATGTGAACAGATCCTAAAATTGTGCTATTAGTTTTCTGTGCTATTTTTTTTGGGTTATGGAGACAAAATCGCCTTCAAAATCGAAGCTTCAAAATGTGGGGTTTACTTTTTCACACAACGCTAGATATCGCAAGTTTGTTGTAGCTTTCGTATTGATTGTTCTGATTTCAGGACTAGGCTGCTATTATTTCATTCTTAAACCACGAATTTCGATGCCTGAAGATAATATGAGCACATATTTCAGTGTTGTTATAGACTGTGGAAGTACAGGCTCTAGAGTAAGTGTGTTTGAATGGATGATTAATGATAAAAGTAAAACTCACGAGGGTTTACCCGTTTTACTGCGTAGTTATCCGGATAGCGTGAATAAGAGCAATGGCTGTGAGTACCACTGCATGCAAACCGAGCCCGGTTTGCATAATTTCATCAATGATGAATCTGGTGTGAGAGCCTCTTTAGAGCCGTTGATTAGGTATGCAGAAAAACGGGTCCCTTTAGGCAGGCGTTATAAAACACCCATATTTGTTTTGGCCACTGCTGGAATGAGGAGTTTATTGCCTGAGAATACTCGTCGAATTCTGCAGAATGTCGAAAATGTAGTACAAAGGCACGGGTTTATGTATAAGAAAAGCTGGATAAGGGTTTTGAGCGGCAAAGAAGAGGCTTACTATGGTTGGGTTGCATTAAATTACAAAATGGGCATTTTTCGGAGTTCATCGAGATTATCATCCACTTTGGGACTTCTCGATTTAGGAGGCTCGTCATTGCAAATCGTGGCTGAAGTAGATTCTTCAACGGGAGACAACGAGCATAGTTTTAGATCGAAAATTGGGCCGTTCGAGCACGATATTGTGACGTATTCTTTACCAGCTTTTGGTTTGAACGAAGCCTTTGATCGGACGGTAATTATGCTAAGTCATACTCGAGCGCTCGGGGAAAATTCTAACGGTATGTTTGAAATCAAGCATCCTTGCCTGAGTTCTGGTTTCATTCGAAATTACACGTGTCGTGGTTGTTTTGGAGTAGATAATTCGAGAAAATCGAGCGAGTTGAATTCGGTTTTTCTTGTTGGGGAACCGAACTGGGAGGAGTGTGAAGTGATTGCAAGGGCAGCTGCTATTAATTCGAGCAGTTTAGAGATTTCGTCACTCAAAAAATATCATTCGGACTGCATGGGCTTGTTTTCGTATGGAGGTAATTTTTTTCGAGAGAATAAATCAATTTTCACTTTAATTAAACTATCAAAACTCTCCTGAATTCATTCCTACTTGCAGGCAATACAGAACATAATATAACAAAGAACTTGCATGCTGTCTTGAGGTACCATGCATTATCCGGGTTTTTTGCGGTTTATCATGCGATGAATTTGAGCCGGAGTGCGAATCTGAATATGATTTGGGAAATTGGTGAGAAGTTATGTTCAAGTCGATTATCGTCTGAACAAGAAAGTGTCAATGGGCAGCTTTGCTTTCGGGTGCCATATTTGATGTCCCTTATAGAAAATGCCCTTTGTCTTGGTGGTGCGTATATAACGTTTGGTCCCGGAAATGTTTCTTGGACGTTAGGGGCTTCACTGATTGAGGGAGAGTTTTTATGGCTCCATGCTGGAAAATCACAACATCACATATTGACTTGGGGAAATAGCTTAATTATTGTACCTTCCTCCCCATTGCTCATATTTGTTTTGCTTTCATCTCTTTTGCTCATTGTTTATTGCTGTCAAATTAAGTTGCCCAAAACTTGAGCATAGTTAATCATTGCCTTCTTATTTGTCTCCAAAACTTAATTTCTTGAATACAGCTAGATTAGAAACACTTTTCGTGTTCCAACTGAACTCAATTATAAATCTGCAAGCGGTTAATTATCCAAGTTGATTTAGGTTTAACTTCAACAAGATGTTCAAATTCACATTATGATTTGAGTTGATTTAGGTTTAAATTCACATTAGGTTTGAACACTGCGTGGCCCAGTGACTCGGATGGTCTGTGTTGGGCTGCCTTCGCTTCTAATCTGGCCGGATCTTTTTCGCCGGAATCAGCTGAAGCTTTTGCCCTCAGATTTGGATTGCGTTTTGCCTTGGATGCAGGGTTTACGATTCAAACCGCAAAAACCGACGCCATTTCTACTATCTCAGGCATTTTGAATAATCATACTAACGACCTTTGCACAATGTTTTTGTTGATATTATTGGTCTTATGTCGTCGTTGAATTGCGGATTATGTTGTCATGTTAGTCGTGAGCACAATGTTATAGCTCATAATATAGCTAAGTGGGCTATTAGGTCGACAGGATCCTTTTTGTGGAAGGAGTTCCTCCCTTCTTTTCTTTTTCCTTTGTTTCGTTTTGTACGATAACTGGTTGATTTAAGGAAAATCATTGAAAAAAAAGAAAAAGAAAAAAAAAAAACTTCAACGAGATGTTCAAATTCATATTGGTATAATATTTACACAAATGCCCTCTAAGACAATTCAGTCAAATATAGGTATAACATTTACAAGAAAAATGCTCTCTAACACTATTCCGTCAACACATAGGTGTAACGTTTACCAGAAAATTTCCCTCTAAGACATTATATTTACAAGAATTTCTCTATTTGAATGGCCCTTGAACACTTTGCAGGGATTTACCTCTAACACACTTAAAACATAAAACAAAACATGGTTGCTCAAACACAAAACAAGGTTATTATATCAGACGGATCACAAAACTATAGAGCAAAACGTTTTATATTAATTTGTTTTTATAAGTTTCTTTCAAACGAAAGCAAAACGTTTTATATTAATTTGTTTTTATAAGCTTCTTTCAAACGAAAGCAAAATATGCCATTCAAAATAAATGTTAATACCATAATAACGATTAACCATAATCAAGAAAAAAAAAGTTAAAAATTGCTAACTTTGTCAAATGAAACTTGTCACATAAACTACCAGAAATCAAAGAAAGTTGTCACATAAACTACCAGAAATCAAGCACACTTGAGCACACGAAGTTGAAACCATATTGACCTGTTAATTTCTAAGCTCAATTACAAATCAACCTATTAACATACAAATTTAAATATCAATTACAAATCAATCTATTAACATGGAAAATTAAATAAATTGGATCAGTTTATTAATAAATGTATATGCTATATTAAATACTTTTGATTTAATATAATATTAGAACATGACTTCATTTTTATTTATAGCAACCACTCATTTCATAATATGGATAAGATAGAAAATAAAAGATCGTGTTTATGACTTAGATGGTTGAGAATTGAATAGAATTTTGGTTAATATTTTAGAAAAATATTTATTAATCTTCTAATAAAGATTATTGATTAATGTTTTAGAAAATACTTGATAATCTTCTAATAAATACTAGCCTAAAGTATAGATGATCACTCTCTCAATGATGTTGTTTTGCTTCCCATAAGATTGTTTGTGTTGCTAAATGATTTTTAATAACGTAATTATTAAATTGCT